TTTCCCCCCCCCCCCCAAAATATGCAGAGTTGCCCCACTAATCTCTTTTCTAGCAAAACAGTGATGGAGCAAGAATGCAAATTGTCACTTTCTGCTATCAAAAACATCGTGGTGGGAGGGGGGAGAAGAAAAGAAAAACGTTAAAACCTCTCTGCATGCTATGTTATTTTTTTTTTATTATTATCTTTGAAGGGATAAAACTCTCTTATCTGCCCTGATTTATTACCAAGACAGTGTTCTGGTCAGTTTCTGCAGAAACTGACAGTTGAAAGCAAGATAGGAAAGGGGGATGAAGGTAAGCCTACTCACCTTGCAAATAAAAATAAAATGAGAGCGCAGAGAAGGAATACAGAGCAATGATGAACCGAGGGGGGAGGATGGGGAGGGCAAAAAACAGAAGAAAAGGGGGAAGGAGGGAGGAGAGAGAGAAAAAACATACGTTCCAAGCTCAAACCACAATCATGTAAGCATATGCCTTTACAGCGATCCAGTGTTTCTCGGCCTCTGCAGCTTTAAGATGGGTGGACTTCAACTCCCAGAATTCCCCAGCCAGCATGCTCTAAGACCTGCAGACTTCAACTCCCAGAATTCATGCTGAGAATCATGCTGGCTGGGGAATTCTGGGAGTTGAAGTCCACGCACCTTAAAGACGCGGAGGTTGAGAAACACTGCTCTGGTCAAAGCAACTCTCCTAGCAGAGCCAAAAAAAAAAGCCTGAGAAACTTACGTTCCCACCCCTTGTCTAAAAATGCCATGAAAATAAATCACAAATAAAAATAAAAACAACTGCAAACTCGGGGGGGGGGGGTCAGATTTGGGAAGATCCCTTACGAGACGTTCGGTGCCATCTCTCGAAACGGACGCAACACGTTGGGGGTTTGGGGACTATGCAAAGGCCTAGGAGCGATGGCCGCTATGACTTTTCTGACCTAGTTGACTTCTAACGCTTGGTCTCTCGTGTAAAAGGGAAGGGGAAGGGAGAGCGCGTGGTCGAAAACGCCTTCAGGTCAGGAGCCGAAGATCCAGGCTAGACGTAACTTCGTTGCAGAATGGAGAAAGCTGACGTAGCCTGCAGGAAAACTCTCTTTTGCTCTAGCCAAGAAGAAAGTCCATCCGAGCACGTGATTTTGGGCTTGGCAAAAGTTTCCTTTCCAGGTGAGTAAATAAGGACAGAAAGAAGAAATCTAACCAAACATGGAAAAGTTCAACTACAAAATGAAAGATGCAGCGTCCTGGGGTTTGGGTTCAAAACCCTGGCGGGCTTAGAAAAAGGAGGCGGAAGGGGAGGTTATTATTATACAAAGAAAGAAGAAGAAGAAATTGGGGGGAGGAGGAGGAGGAGGAGCAACACAGGAGGAGGACGAGAGATAATCTAGCATTTCCACTATGCAATGGGAAAAGCTTAACTCCTTAATGCTTGCTGCTACTTGCAGGTGGAGAAAACTAAAAACGGCTGAATTCGACAGGGGACTTTGAATGTTTGCTGCTGATTCTGATGGAGCTGTAGTCGGTGTTTATTAAAGCAAGCAGGCCAAGGACGAAAAAAAACCCCACAGTGCAAGAAAACATCTCGGCGTAAAGCATCTCGGAGCATCCAGCCACAGGAGTCGGGGAGGCTGCTGGGGAAGGGTGTGAATTGCAAAGCCTCTCTCTCTCTCTCTCTCTCTCTCTCTCGCAGGAGGACTGGCAGGCAGCTTGGGGGGCCCCAGAGCTTAGGCCTTGCTCTCCTCCACTTTGACAGCCTGAGGCTTGATTGCTCCCGTACGGACTGGCTTCATCTGACCAGCTGAAGGAGGGTCCTGCAGTTTCACAGCTCCAAGGCTTTTGTTCTCATCCACCCGCTGTTTTGCCTGTTTACCAATGAAGAGGGGAGAAGGGGCAGAAGGGAGAGAAGGGGAAGGGGAGAAGGGGAGAAGGGGAGAAGGGGAGAAGGGGAGA